AAGCATCTTATCCTGGTTTCTCTTAAAAAAAAATATATTGCCTACTTTCAGTACTAGGAAAAGGCAGGAAATCACAGAGGAAAAGCAAAAATTCATTGTGCTAGGTCAAAATCTTCTGTTGCTTTCCATTATTGTTATTTCTTTGCCAAAAGTAACACGTTCAGTGAAAGAAAATCCCGAAAGACACTCTGGTGTGTGGTGCCTAAAGTCTCACAGGCAAAACAAATGTTATACACATAGGAAAGCCAGAAGTGAAAGAACTTACTTCTGATTGCTGACCCCAAATCCTCCATCTTTGTCGAGGGCACCATATATAAACTTCAGTTTCTAAAGAAAAGCTCAGAATCTGCCATCATCTTTACTCAGTAAATTGTTCACCAGTGAAAGCTTTTCAAAGCTAATCCACTGCTCAATCTAAAGTGTTAGCTGCAGAACCTGAATTAGAGACAGCTATCTATCTCCTGGTATTTCCATGCACATGGTGCAGGATCAGAAAACAGTCCTTGGCCATAGCACTGTATGTGTACTCCCCTAAATAAATCATACTTGTGGAGATGGCCTGGGACACCCTGCCTGTCAAACCCAAAAGGCAGAAATAAAAAGGGAAAGTGGGAGAAGGCAAAAGCTAGTGAACCAGATTCTGATTGGAATCTAGCTACATGGATGCCGGATAATTGTAATTGTAGAGATAGATTTCACACTTTCTGATCAGATTTCTGCCTTGGTGAACTCATTTTCCAGAATTGGCCTTGCTGTGCATCACAGGCCAAGAGTTCAGGCTATGACTTTGAACAGAGACCATCTAATTTGCAGAATATTTTAGCAACTCAATTACAATGTAAGAGCATTACATTGTAAAATTACTTCTCTATCAGCTGAACATCAGGCTATTAAAAGTAGTACAAAAGACAGAAGTTAAAGAACAGCCTTTTCAACTACTCCCCTATTTTTGGAGATGCATTTCTTTATTATTCTAAAATACTACAAGCAGTAATAATTTATCTGTTCTCCATTGTAATCATGACATTAAAATAAAATAATGTGCAATTAATATCCTGTTTAATGATCCCTTCTAGAAAGATAATCACTGCAATAACGATGTATCACATAAGGGCAGATAATTTTAATAACTTGAAAGAATACACTAAGGATCTCTCTACATTGTTAACTTCAGATTTAATACTTATTCTGGTCTGAACTGAGAGATTCATGGAGAACAACTGCTCCTAATGGGAAATTATGCATTCCCTAGACACCTGTCTACAGTGTATTTCACAAGAGAAGAGAGAGTCACAGCTTTCCATTATGCTGATGAGAGTAAATCAAAGTGACCCAACCTAGAGTGTGAGGAAAGAGGAGAAAGTGATTATAACTAATTGAAACTTGGGGTTTGGCTTCTATTTCAGTATTAATAAAAACATTCCAAACTAAAGCAAAACAAAAGAAATTGAAAATTTCTGTTTAGAAATTTTTTTTAAAAAATCTATCATCTTATTTAGGGGTAAAAAAATTGATTTTTTTCCACTTTAAATCATGCTGGTACTGCAGAAACTCCCAGTGATACTTGATTTTTCCTGCATGGAAAACATGGAAATTCTGGGTCTCCAGCAGCCTTGTAGATACTTATTTAGCAAGAGAAGTGCTATGATGCAGTTGAAGGTACTAAGAAAACAACAGGTTTTTAGGCATTTTGTAATTTTCCAATAAAAATTTTATTTCCCATGTGAAAGCTATTTTATGACAGATTTCCTGACCAGTTCCAACTCTTACTTCCAGGGAGCTCAATTCCTTTCTGTATAGTCTCATGTTCAGTACCACACGAGGCTGGATGTAGCTTATGTACTGGTCCGTAACCCCACCTCAGGGTGCAAGTGGTACCTGCGCTGCGGCTGGGGCAGCCTTATCTGAACACAAGACGAAGCTTCCTGAGGGCAGGATTAGGAGTATCGTGTTTTCAACACATCTTCAGAAATGCTTTTCTGAAGTAGATGGGTTAAGAAAAGATTTAAAGATGCGCCGGCAAATGTTAACAAGCGGTTTTTGTAATGTTTTTCTGAGCATTAAATATGTTCTGGAAGGACTTACGAAACCAATTCACAAACTTAAAAGACTAAATCTTTGCTTAAACAGCAGAAAATCTTGTTGCTTCCTTGCTCCACATCTATTACTTCTCTTACTTACTCTTTCTAGGACATCTAGACATCTTCACAGTACCTTAACATTCAGTGATATTGAATATAAGGAGAAATTAGAGGTGATCCTCTTTGTTCTTTCAAACAGATCTTCTTTCCTGTTTCTTCCTCCCCATTGCAGATGCCCCTGCCAACGGTCTCTTCTCATTTGCTTGAGCTGTGGAAGCTCAGAATAGTTCAAGCACACTTGCACATTTTCCCTTGGTCTTCCCTTGCTAGGAGATCCACCCAGTTTGTAAAAGCATGTCTTTGTAATTAATGAACATGACTTGGAAATAGTTGTTAGAAGAGACTCGGAGACATTCCCTTAGGAGCACGTTGTTGATGCCAGAAGCTTCTATTCACTCCCCAGTGAAAAGCCCATACAAATCCTGCTCTTTTAGTACGCAGTTTTTATAAACACATGAAGAGCTTGTTACACTGACTCTGAATTATGAGTCAAAGGGTCCACAAGTCCTAAAAGCAGCCAGGTCTGCAGCTGAGTGACACAAACCAAAGGCCACAATCTCACAACAAGAAACTGCAAACAGAATAAGGAAGAACACTAATTTCATTTTCCATTTCAGACACAAACAGGATCTTTCTGATTTGAAATGAGACTCCTTAGCCATTAAAAGACGTCTAGCTAGAGACACAAAAAAGCAAACTGTGTCCAGCCACAACGCATTTATTATTTATCCTACCCTATTTATATCTCACGCTGCGGGATGTACAGGATAGACTGAATCCACATTTGTTCCTTGCATTCCTTCTCGCAGCTGAGAAGATGCAATGAATCATAAAAGGTTTCATTGTTGCAGTGTTTTGTCATGGTATGCGTAATCAGCGCAGACCCTGGTAAAGAGGCTTTGGAGGATGAGAAGTTTAAATATTTAATGTTTTTCTGCCTATGATAAGTTTAATAATTAATGCTGCTCCTACCCTGGAAATGACAAATCATACAACAAGCACGCATGATAAAAGAAACAAACACAGCTAACAGAGAGGGAAACTTTACTTAGAAGGCAGTAATTGAAAAACCTCTGTAGCATACCTCAGGATCCCAAAGTACTTCGCAGGCAGAAGTAAATTCTGCCTCCCAACCCAAAGAGCAGTTCTGTCCATCTATTAAGCTACCTAATTTTTGAGGGGATGCAGAAGATGTGGGATAATTAAGTGCTAGTCTTTCCCTTGCATATGTGAGAAATGATACACAGACATTACGAGCCAAACTGTCTTAAAGACTCCTGCACTCACAGGAGAGAAAAAGAATGATGTGAAAGCTGTTGTCCCTTGGTGTTCTGCGCAGAGGAGCCAGCCATTAAGTCATTACAGAAACTTGTTATATGACAGAGTAAGAGCAAGACTGGATCTGTGCCTATTCTCTCCTTTGCATGGGTCTAAATGGAGAGGGAGCTACTCCAGCTCCAAGCAGCGTCTACAAATACCAGCTCTTGCCACCCTCTGAATAATCTGTTTTGTAAGACACTACCACCAGTACATTTCTCTGAGTACCTGCTCCTCCACATCCACTCCCACTGATGATCTGCAGGTATATGCAACCTTCAACCCCCACTGACTTGTAGTTAAAAGAAAATTCAGCTCACGCATTGCTGTGCTTCAGTGCTGGACCACGCTTATGTAAATGCAACAGAATTAACATTGGAGGAAAGCACAAAGCATGACAGTAATAAAATCTTCTGTGATTCACTCAATTTAGACATGTTTTCAAATTATTAGCACTAGAAGCCTGTCAGACAAAGAGGGTGAGCACTTCGATATAGACATCACCACTATATCCTTCCTTCAGGGTAGAAGCCATTTTCCCTAAGCCCAGGTCTGAGATAATCACATTGTGGGAGAAATAGGTTTATCTAGAAAGTGACTCATCTTACCTTCAGAGATGCCTAAAACAGGTCAGGTGACTCATCCCCCCTACTGAAATCAAGAGCCTAGCGTGACTATTTCAGATTGAGACAGGTAACACCTTGTAAACGTGTAGTACACCTACCCTAGTGCACGGTCGGTAGTGCCAGGGCATGGGCGCTGGAGCTCGGTCCCCTGCACTGCCAAGCTGCTGGAGCACTCCCTGACACCCTTCTGGCTCACATCTCCTAGTCGTCTCCTGAGCAACTCTTGAGCACGGGACTGTTCCCAACAGCTAATCTGGATGCAGCCACCCTGCTTTGGAGGCTACTGGAGTTGGATAACTCGGGCACGGTCAGACTGTGCCAGCTGACCTCAAAGAAAGGTATTGCCATGGCGTTGCTAACTAGGATAGGTATAGCCTTCAACCAGTAAGATCCAGGAGTTTTTTACACATTAACACTTTACTACAAAACATGTATTTTTATTTTATTCACTGTCTGCTCTTCTTGCTTGAATATCCTTTCTTAGAGTGGGCTTTGAGAATTTAGTATGAGGAGAGAAATTAACCTTCTGACAGAGGACAATGTACAATTGTGTTTAAAAGTCACGCCTTTCCTAAGCTCAATCTTTTGCAATAAAACTAGGTTAGGGTAAACAAGTCTTCACACATACTCCTGGAAAATCAGGTCAGTCACATCAGTGACAGTCCACAGCTTTTTAAAGTTACTTGCATTCAGAAAAACATAAAGATGTTACATTTTCCAAAGAACAGTTTCCTTAATGTAATCTCCTTCAAACTCTTATCTGAGGTTTTTGCTTCCTCTTCAATGGAGGAACACAGCATAGTAGAACGTCTCTGCAGCATAACCGCAGCCGAGGGATCCAGCTGAAACTATCTGAAACCTCCTCAGTGACGCAATGATTTGTCCTGCCAGGGTCATAGGGTAGTGTTCACCGGCTCTATACCCATTCTGACTTTTTTGACCTCAAGCAACTAGAACTGCTATAATTTGATTGTGCATCAGGGTTTTTTAACTCAGCTGAAGGGTAGTATCCTAAAAGCTTGCTCTGAACTACAGAGGAAGAAACTCCAAGGTGAGACTTGATCTGAGGTCTCAAAGTCAGGGCAGTATCTTTAATGCAGTCTTGCTGAAGCCTGGGTCTCTCTTGCCTGCATGTAGTCCCTTGGTGGTCACTGGCATACAAGGGTTCTTCAGTGGCATCTTCAGCAAGATCTCCTGATATACAGGGCTTGTTGCTGTTGCTGTTAATGTTAGTGCTGGCAGTTTGCTGAGAGACCACTTCAGGATGAAGAACAGCCTCTTCTTCCTCTTCAGGGAGAGGTGAGCAGGAGCCATCACTGGTCTGGCTGCTTTTTGATCCTGGACAGTCTTGATTTTGAGGTGGAGGAGAACTGCCATGCTGTACTGGGGGAAGATTTAAAATACACTCATTCTCTACGTGGAGGTTTGCCAGCAGCTTGTTCTTTTGATTTCTTGCTGTCATTCTCTGGAGAGCACAGACAAGATCAGCAAGGCTAAGCAGAAAGGATAGACTGCTGACCCCCCAGATGAAAATCATCATGATGGATTTCTCAGTGGGACGGGAGATATAACAATCAACTGTGCTTGTACAAGGTGAATGGTAGCAGGAAAAGCGTTCAGGAACAGAAAATCCAAAAAGAAAATATTGCACAGCTGCAAAGGCAGCCTCAAGTAGTGTCCTAAACAAAAGATGAACAGTATATGCCCCAGAAAAATTAAGGACACTTAGGTTGTCTGCACCACAATCTAATCTATTGGCAACAGCACTTCTACAGAGCTCCTTCAGGTCTTTGGGACTTGATAAGTCCTTATGCCCTTTGCATCCATGCACCAAGCAGTGCGTTCTTACAATGTACATAGCTCCCTTGTGCAAAACGTAAATGCTGAAGGCAGTATAAGGCAGCAGGATAGACACAGTTTGAATGAGCCAGAACCTAAAGTGAGATACAGGAGAGAACAAGTCATAGCAAACATTGGAGCATCCTGGTTGGAGGGTGTTGCAGACGAAGCGCTCCTGCTCGTCTTGGTAGAGTGGATAGCCTGCTAACACTACCACTGCCATTCGCAGCAGAATTATTAACATTAGCCAGATCTTTCCTAGAAGAGAAGAAAAGGTAAGAAAAGGAGTCAGAGCACTGAGAAGGAAAGGGAGGCAGGTAATGTAGTGATGCTCTCTCTGTATGCAAGACGGTTGAAATAGCCTCTGTAATCAGTCTCCCCTCTTAAAAGCTCCTCTTTCTTTGGCTTTGTTTTGACTGAAACTCATGTGACAATGTGTTAGCTGACACATTCCGTAACCTTCATCTAGACTCAACCGTGGAGGAGCCTGACATACAATAAGCCATGCCAACTGAAACCTCAGCCTAACGAAAACACTCTGAACGTGTCCAAATCTGATGAAAAGAGTTTACAATTTAGTGAATAATCCCATTTCACTTACAGTTCTTCCTTGCTGTTGGTTTCATACCTCTGCACCTGCGTTTTGTCCTATTTCAATAATATAGATCAGCTAAAAGAGCATGAAACTCTTCTAGATACAAAAGATTGTTCCATGACATCGTATTTGTTCTTGGTCTTGGCAGTGAAATTGTATGTAAAGTTTACTATAGCCAACAAAATCTCTCTCTTGTGTCTAGACTGGTATTTACCAGCGAGCTAGTTAACAGGTGCTATTAGCAAACTTATGCAAAATGTTCTACAAATGTACATTTGTGTGTGCACATGTGTACCCCGGTCATGTCTCTCTGCTGCTGCTTTCATTGCCCCATCTTGATCGTGGCTTCCAACCTTCGTTCACCTCGGTGCACAGCTGCTCTTTCCATTCAGACCAAAAGCTCCCTTCTGTCTTGGTACCAACACCAAGGGAAGCCTTACAAGTTTGGCATTTTCATACATTGCTTGCTTCATCTTTCCCTGAATTCTTTCATATGATTGCTTTAGGTAGGGCTTGGTCTTATGCACTTTGATGGAAAAGATCAGGCCTTATCCTTATTCCACTACACCAACAGCAGTGAAAGATCAGGCATTGGTACTCTACGTATCAGATCTTTTGAATGAGGCTGTATTGTTTATGATAGTTTTTTGGAGGGCTTGTGGATGGGGTAGGTTTTTATTAAAAGTTTTTTGTGAAGTTACACATACTGCTGTATTACTGACAAAAAGTTATTTATTAAAAAAAAAAAAAAAGAAAAAGAAGAAAAGAAAAATTAAATCCTTTTCCTGGGCAGGATAGGAAGGCCTAAAGATATACTGTTATATTGTAAAAAATAAAAAATGTATTCTGTACAAATACATGGAAAAATTCAACATCTGAAGTTAAATTTAGCACTTGAATTTCTCAAGTTTCCTTTTGAATCCTGTCATTAGTTCCCTATATGGTTTTGAAAAAATAATTTAATTTAATAATCCCCTGCTTTAATTGCACATATTTTTAAAACATGCCAAGAAAAGAGAAAAGAAAAAAACACTTAGGAACAAAAAGAAAAAAAAAACAAAAAACAAAACAGAAAAGACTGCTAAGATTAATTCTGTGCTTTAAGGAATGGTTAAGAAACCAGTTGTAACCAGAAACAGACAAACAGCAAGACTCCGTGAGTAAAGAGAAGCATGTTATATGGAGGTAATAGTTGAGAAATGCACTGAAAACCTCGAGTCATTAATAGTGATTGCACATCTCACATGCACACAAGGTTTTAAAGGCAGTCTTTGAAACAGCGCCAATATACATTCTAAAGGCTTTTTAAAAATCTAGATCCCAAAGCATTTTTTCTATAAAATCTATGATTATTTACAGGTATTGTCTTGAACAACATTCTTTTCTATTACTCATAAAGCTATTTCCCTGTAGTTGGTGTGAATTTTAAATATTCAAATATTTCTGCAACATTGTATGATACCTATCATTGTACTGAACACACAGTTCGAACGCCCCGTGTAACCCGTTTGTGGCTAGTAGGCGGATTATGGGCTAGAGCAGTAAAACTGCACTGCGAAGAGGGAGAACTTAAGCTGGAAAAAGGTTAAGGATATATAAGCTATATGAGAGATCATCAGAGAAACCTGCTGCTCCTGGCAAAATAATATATTATCTAACCATAAATAAATTGAGGCCTTTCCCTTTTATCTTTAATCACCTGACCTTTAGTGGTGGTTTTGCTGTGTTTTCAGCCTGCTGCCTTTTGGTGACAGGCTGTACTGTTACTCTTTTCAACATAGTGTGGGTTAATAGAAAACAGCAGCTGCACAGAATCAGTCATCTTTAGCAAGCGATGTTTCATACTTAGGTGGCATTTTTTCCCTGTGAGGACCTCAAAGTGTTTGAAGCCCATCAGTTAATTAAGCTCAAAATACTACATGCTATTTCACTATCAGTTTTTAATTAGAACATGTACAATAGGGAGTGCCGCTTAAGAAAAATCAATGGCTCCTTAGGAAGTAGTTTAGTATGACATACATTTTAGAGATAACCCCTCCACACATCACGTTCCCTAATGACTCCATCTTGATTAAACACACCAGAACAAGCCCCTTCACCAGTCCCCCGCGGCTTAGTCGGGTACTCCCCGCCACGCACAGCACAGACTACCGCAACTGCCCGCCACCAGAGGCGAAGGGTCTTTGAAAGGCCCTTGAAAGTTTTTCTCTGGCTCACACTTTGCCCAGAGTAGCCCATGAAAAAGGAACAGTGTCTTTGTTAAATAGGAAGGGGAAAAAAAAAAAAGAAGCACTCAGGCAACTGTTAGCTGAGGAAAAAACAACTGTATTTTTTTTAAATGCACGTGAACTTTGTTGGCCTATAAAAATAAAGAATGAAAAGCAATGGTAATTAACCACAATGGTAATAAACCACAAACTTCTTCCTGCAAGAGAGAGAGGCTTTTTTCCCTTCTTTAAACTTCTTAATTCATCACTAAAGCTATTGCATACATTCTACCACTCACTCTATGTGGTATAAATAAAGCATTACTTCTGTGTGTTTTCACCACGATACCTACAACAGCCGCTAGAGCTGGCTGCAAGCTCCAGCACCAAGAGCAGCCAAATTTGAAAACCTTGCTGGAATATTTTACATAAAGCTCAGAAAAATATCTATCAGAGAGGGAGTAGGAATCTGTTTAACAAAAAAAAAAGAAATACATTAACCACTCATATCACGTATCTAAATAAAAACTTCTAATTGTAAGGATCACAGAGGCATTGCTAGAAATTAAAATTGATTATCAGTAGGACACTTGGGTGGCTTCAGGATATGGAGCAGCAAAAGAAGGAAGAGAGCTGGTTTAAAGTACTTACCTACAATAGTCACATTGTAGTTGAGCGTGACAATCAAAAATCCCAGCGAGTCCCAGCGCTCCATGTTTGAACAGGCTCACAACACCTCCAGCTCCTGATGTCCAAACGGTTTTGTCATTTCCAAAGGCGATTAGACCTAGGCAGGGAAAAATTTAAAAAAAAAAAGGAAGGAATTTTTGGTAAGGGTCAAGGATGGAAATAAGAAACCTGTCCACAACAACATATTGATGAAGGATTTTGATTATTTGAACAGGGCTGTTAATTTTGGATGTTGGAACGAATCTTCTTAAGGCTTTAACAGTTTGTCTTGCAACAGCTCTAGCCTCTCAGATCCAATTGCTCCTACCTCTTGTGTGGCTCCTCTGTCCAGACAACTGCAAGTAGACAAACAACAACAGGAATGATCTCTGCCATTGTAGACTATTCTTACCCTCCCGGGGCATACCAGCCTCCTGGCATTGCTGAGATATTTCAGTGGTGAAAGAGAGGGAGAGGGGAGAGAGGGAAGGAAAGCATAGACCGGGAAATAACAGAGACCTCTCTGTCTCCCCAGGAGAACTGCAGATGGATAGTAGAAGGAAAAGGATGAGCATCCCTATGTTTGAAAGGCACTTCCAGTTTAGTTCACTGGAAGCTATCCCATTGCAATTTCCCAAAGCAATTTCATTTCTAAAACACAGCTTCCCTGACAGGACATCATGGCCTTGTCAATCACTGCCGCACCAGATTTTCTCCTGTGTGCTGAGCCAGGCAGCGGGCTGAGCCTCCCTGCAGGCATGATGAAAAACGGGAAGCATTTAAAAAAATAAAATAATGAAATGAAATAAAAAGAAAAAATAAAAATTAAAATAATGGAGGCTGGTTTTCAAGATGCCACAAGTCACTTACTTTTGATTTATATCAGTTCCTTCCACCTGAACTGCTTGGTACTCTGGACATCACTCGAAAGATCCCAGGGCTGATTGCCCAGCAGCCTGAAAGCCCAGCAAGCCTCTGCAGCAATGACGGAGCGAGAGGTCTCCTCGGAGCAGGATGCCCCGTGGGGTGCACGCTCCTTGACTGCTAGGTGCAATTGCACAGCATGCCTTTGACATTGTGTGGCTGTGCTGCACCCCAGGAAAAAAGCATGGATAGAAATAAGACTCAGTTTTACTTTCCTCACCTCTACTGTAAGCAATTTTCTTTGGGAAAATAATCTACTACCGTTTTCCACCCACTGTTCAGCTACTTATGGGATGTTACTCTGTCCTTTTTAGTCTGTGCTGTAATAGGGAAAAACATAATATGGACACTTATTGTCAGGAAATCGTAGCAGTAACTAGAAAAACAGCAGAAAAAGGAGTCTGCCTAGCAAGGGAGAAAAGTGATGTCATGACAACCTGAGGGCTGCCGCAGCCCGGGCACGGGCTGGTCACTGCGGGCACGGGCTGGTCACTGCGGGCACGGGCTGGTCACTGCAACCCTGCTCACGTGCTTCAACCCACGGCTCTGTTGCTGGGGGAGCACGGTGAGTCGGCTCAGATGGGGAGCTGTCTGCTGATACTGCCTGAGTTGCTTATGGTCAGCGTGGCTAGGCTAAGCTCTATGACTGAACATGTCTTACCTGGAAAAAAGGTAAAACTAATCATTTAATAAAGTAAAATGTAACTGTACAAAGACCATTTCTCCCCAGCTCTCTGCTCACAGGGTGTACAGTGCCCAGCAGAACACACTGAGCATCCTTTCTGTAATGAGCCCCGTCCTAAGGAAACCCTAAAAGCGGAGTTTGAAAGGATGGCACTTAAAAACACGGCAGAACTCTATATTCATTAACTGCATAAAAGGATTAACTGCAGTAGTGAATACAGGAGTTTTCCTGGTTTCAGAATTGGTTTACGTAAAATATTTTCCAAACAACTATTCCTTCCGTTACTGAGTTGTATTTATGGTGTGTGATGATGGTTTTATCTTCATTTTCCCCCAACATGCTTTTTTTTTTTTTTTTTTCCCCAGAGACGTGTGTGTGTGAGCAGAAGTATGAGAAGGGAGGAAAGCTGGAGGAAGGGAACAGAGAAAAGATGCAAATGGCCAAGATATAAATTATGCTGAGGTATTCCTCGTTAAACATCCTTTGTCAAAAATAGTCAGGAAT